TTGTCAGCGACACTAGATTTGTTTTCGAGGCAGGAGTAAATTGTAGTGTCGTCCGCGTATATGCCAACTTGGGAATCTATGGCATCAGGAAGGTCGTTGATGAAAATAAGGAATAGAGTGGGGCAAGCATGGAGCCTTGGGGAACACCTGCGTTCGTGGGATAGGAACTGGAGAAGAATCCGTTGAGAACGACCTTCAATTCACGGTTTGACAGGAATGATTGTATTAGATCAAACAATCGACCTGTAATATCATAACCCTGGAGCTTACGAAGAAGGCCGGCATGTATATATATATTTATGTGTGTTTATTGTTATTTTAGAGTTTTGACGTTTCTAATATTTTTAACTGCCAACGTAAAGTCGAGTAAAACGATCTAAGGCGAGTTTAATTTTTTTGCATATAATATTTAAAAAAACTGAAGTATCTTAGAAAATGACAACTCGAAACGACTTAAGCCGGGGTATTATTGTTTTCAAAAGAATTATTCGTTAAGTACAATAATCATTTTCATTATTAAGCTACAGACTTACTCATATACATACGTAAGTAAAATCCTTGTGAAAGTGACGTAACACCATTTGTGAATTTATGATAGAATTCTTGGGATATAAAGAATTTTTAAAATACTATTGCTTTTTTTAGAAAAAATGTTCTGTACAAGACTCAAGTGCCACTTGAGGTAAAAGGTTACAGAGTAAGAGTTATAGTTTATGTGGGAAGATAGAGATTAACCAGAGACAGGTTAAGATTGTAATGATCGTGGAAGTATCCTCTTGCGTATCGGTTCCATAAAGTAACGGTTCATGGGGAGAAGATACTCGAGGGAGAATGTTGTAAAGGCGGAAGTAGAGGAAAGTGTAGATTATGAGTATGTGTAGGATAGATAACTGTTGACATGAATGTTTCAGATTGTAATAATCGTGGAAGTATCCTCTTGGTTGTTTGCGAAAGTGTCCTAAAAGATCCTCATGTAACACTCTTGTTGCAATAACATTTTTCTCAGAAACTAGAATAGCCATCTCTTTCTTCCTTCAGCTTTCTAAACATTTTTGATGTTGATGTTTTGTCAGTATCTGCATCGATTCAGTATGAAAGTTCGGCAAATCGCAGCCCCATTCCTTACCCATAAAAACCAGAAAACCTAGTTGCGGTTATATATTCACATCTAGGTGGTCGTCCATCTTTTATTAAAAAGGGTGATGTCTAGGGTCAATTTCTGTCGCTTGATGTATCTGATAGTGAGAAGTGCTGAAGGAGCTGAACAATATTTGTCCCTACTCTTGGGAAGCTGGACTATTTTTGGTCTCTGGTCTCATGAAGGCGTGGGATTTTCACTTTAAATTCATCTTTGTGCTGTATTATATTCGAGTGGGCATATTGTTAAAAATTAACTGTTGCTCAATACTATTTTATGTTTTCCCTATAGCACCGTATTGATGGTAGACATAATAAGAAAATTGCAGTAACTCGTGGACAAGCTAGTAAAGGAAAGCGAGAAGAAAAGAATAACTGTCAATTGTAAAAAGACAGAATGTATAGTTGTCGGCAAGAGAAAAAGAAAAAAAAATGTGATGTCCAAATCAAACAAGTATAAAATTTAACCTGGAAAATGATATAACAAACAACAGAATTCCGAAATCCGAAGTTGCATTGGAATAGTGAAATGTGCCTTCTCAAAGTTAAACATATTTTAAGTAACAGTTACATTAGAAAAAATTGTTTTGAAATTCTATTTAATCTTCATATATAGCAGTGAATGCTGGTGAATTTCCTCACAGATGAAGAGGAGACTTGAGGCAACAGAAATGTGGTTCTACATAAGGATACTGAGAATACCATGCACTGACATGTGAGGAACGGAAAAGAAATTCAGCGACACATATTGAAGAGGGCTTGGAATATATTACTGTACTATATGTAGTAACATAACATGTCGATAAATAGATATGAACTCTCTCTCTCTCTCTCTCTCTCTCTCATATATATATATATATATATATATATATATATATATATATATATATATATATATATAAAGGTAACAAATCCGTTTGTATATAATCCAAGTGGTTCCTAGTAATATAAAATATTAAAACTGGTCCCCAAAAAAGAGATCAATCTATTTATTATTACAGAGCAAATAATTAATAAACAGTAAAATCCAAAATACCTCATATGGGGAATAGCTTATTTCGGCATACGAAGATATCATTTGTCTTTCTTATCGACTCTTGTGTGGACTGAGTTCGTGTCAGAAATAGAAATTTAACTCTGAAAGCTAAAAAAACAGTCGATAAACTAATACACAATTTATCCATTTCAATGTTTCAGTCAGACGAAAGGCACAAGTCAGGAGTCAGGGGAGGGTGGAAGGTATATTTCTTAAAGGGAAGAAGTTTTATAAAATTAATCCTGAATATTAACCCCATGACACGAACGAACGCACACACACACACACACACACACACACACATATATATATATATATATATATATATATATATATATATAAACATAGAAAAGTGCTGAGCTACAATATAATATCAGTCATTCTATGACAGTGAATGCTGGACAATTTCCTTACAGATAAAAAGGAGACTTGAGGCGACGGAAATATGGTTCTAAAGAAGGATACTGACAATACTATGGACTGACATTTGAGGAATGAAGAAGAAATTCAATGGCACATAATGAAGAAAGAGGGCCTGAAAAAATGACACTCACAGGATATATTGAAGGCAAGAGAGTCAGAGGGCAATATCGAGTAACCTACTTAACGAGCTTGTGTAAATCGATGGTAGAACAGACACTGGGAGAGATAGGAAGATCATAAAACTTAAAAAGATGTTTTTAATATCATGTCCCTTCCGAAAGTAAGCAATCAATTATACCCATAGATTTCTTTATTATCTATGAAGTGCTAATACTTCTTATAAAAGATATTAGAGCGGATTCCGATTGCTTTCTTTATGATTTGTAATTCAGGAGTTTCCTTGAAAAATGAACGGAATTTGAACACGGTACGCAGATTTCAATTTCTGTGTCGACACTACGCGACAAACCATGTCTTGGGCTAAAACGAATATAATTTCAAGACCGTCATAATTATCCACGCCCTGAAGGGACACGGTACATTAAAGGAGATAAGGAAAATACAAACTAGCTGAACATCATGGTATGTTTGGCGCCCAAATTTATGCAGCTCATTTGAATGCGGCGCTCTCTCTGTAGAGAAGAACGCCATCATAACATGGACAAGCAGAACTATCTTGTTAGCCATCGCGTGACGTCAGACACCAGTATATAGGTAAAGATTAGTCTTAGCTAAGTCTGGCCGAAAGCTTCAAGCATAGTGCATCATATGAAGATAGCAAATTATATGCGAGGTATTAGGTTGAGTGATAAGTAAATATCGTTTTGGGGAACAAATTTTAATGACGAACGTTTCACACTAACTACTAACCATACAAGACAGTTAAAAATCAATCTGAAATACGCTAGAATATCAGTGGCAGTGTGCACAATGGATTAAAGAATAAATCTTGACCCTACAAGTGGAGGGATTGAATGTGCGTTTTCGTCATGTAATGTTATGGGAGTTCAAGCAGAGGCATATGTTAAGACATCTAAGGTCGGCTGTGTCTGTGTACACTTGATTTGCTATGTGCACAGGTTTGTCCACTTGGCCGTAATCAAATTCACAAAAAATAACCACAAATGCTTTTCAAGACTCTCTGGTTGGGAAATAGCAACAATACGAATTCATATCTGTCTATGTTTTTCTTCGGCTGAACTGCTATCTCTCTAACTGCCACTGGTCTCTTCCTCCCTGGCCGCTGAGCATCTACTCACAACTTTCTCGCTGACTGCTGAACCGCTTTCTCCTTGACTTCCCGCCTCTCTCTGCTTATATGGATAATGGCTGGGGTCCCACCAACCTTATCCGTCTCTCTGTGTTCCGGAACAAGAGACTAATCATTCTTATGATTATCTAAAATTATTAACAACATTTTATGTTTGCCAATAAAAGGACACTAGACACCAAAATCTCCAGAACGCTGACACCGAAGTTGACTCAAAGATAGACTGGAGATTAATTTCCTGAAATTTTGGGTACTTAACTGGACTCAAAAGAAAAGGAATCTATCTACTTATCTCTTAATAATGTGTGAGAAATTGTATTGTTACACATAACACTATAGAGACATCTAGAAAATGTGTATTAGTAGTTTCTTTATGATGAAAGAGTCATAGCTGACGGGCAAGCATGAAATTGTTTTGAAAAGTTTCGTTCTGGAGAAATGTCGCTGGAAGATAAACCTAAACCGGGGAATACATTGGAATTTTTTTTTTTTTTTTATAGAAGCTTCAAATTCATTACTGGAAAGCAGTCAACAGAAAGGTACTCAGGAATTAGCAAAGATATTAAACACATCACAATCTACGATATGCCGAAAGCTCGGTGTTTGTGCTCCATAAACTCTTAGCGAAAAGAACAAAGTGGATCGTTTTATACAGAGAGATAAGTCTCCTTAAAGAACAGAAAGAAAATCCGTTCCATAAATATACAATGAAACACTAAATGCACATTTATATTTCCTGCATCTGCAACATGTCGCTAAAGATTTGATCGAATGGCGCCTTGCGATCGTCAATAGGAAAAATATTGTTCTCCTCCATGAAAACGTAAGACTGTATACAACAAGAATGACACTGGAAATATTTAGGAACTAGGTTGGTCTGTTCTACCAAACTCGCCATATTCACCTGACCTTGTGCCAACCGATTATTGCCTTTTTTCGATGACTGTAAAGCATTTTGATGGAAAAAGAAACTTTCTCTCATGATAACCAGATTCAAGAGTTAAACGAAATTTTCTCACATTAAAACCTGCAGAATTTTACTCAAAAAATATCGAAAAGTAGCCTGATAAGTGGTAAAAAGTCATTGTAAATAAGAGTGTATATATAATCGAATCAAGACTTAGACGCATCAGGTTTAAACACCGGTTCCCGTACGAATACCAAAGTTAAGCAATATCGAGCCTGGTCAGTACCTAGATGGGTGACCACTTGATGATACCGGGTTCCGTAACCTTGGACATGCGGGTGATGTAATGGATAATCGGAGAGCCGAGTTCCAGGTCACATTGGTTCGTTATATTCCCTTACGTGCAAATACTCTTGGGAAAGTTATGAATCTAACTCTTCTCTCCCCAGATATGGATTAATTAATAAGACTTGTATCACTAAACTATTATTATATCCCCCTCCCCCCCAAAAAATTCTTGCAGACTAAAAACATGTTCTGGCTTTAAATAACCTGCAAAGAGTTGATAAAGCGTAAAAAGCGAATCAACCAATCAATGATAACTGAATAAAATATAATTGTACTTTATTTTTGTGAACAATAAATTTAACAAACAAAAACGGAAATTGTTTATGACTCACCCAATAGTACAACAACCATCACTCCAAGATAAGTTGTGTGGTTCATTATGGCGAGTTGACGCGAGAAAGGTTTGCATATATGTTGTTATAAAAAGCGTACTTTGTGGCGACCACATTTTTCATTCATTTGCAAATTTCTTGTTTACATTCAAAGTTTCTTTCGTATAACTCCATTATTCTTTTTCGCTTTTATTTAAGAGGTCGTAGTTATGCTAGCGACGCCATCGCCTTTTGTCTATAAATATGCAATGACGCGTTTTTTTTTCTTTCTTTTCCAAGCTTCAACTACTCAAGACGTTGAGTGGATAAACAATCCAACATTCAACCCCCGAGAATTAAACTACAAAAAATAAAAATAAAATTGCTATTGATTATTAAAAAGAAAAGAAAAGACATTAGTCAGTAAGGTTTACTTTGCAGTTGATAGCGCTATTAATTTCGTACCAGTGCAAGAGTTCGATGTTCAAGCCCGGGTAAGAGCCGGACTTTCGCATACTGATATCTGGGTTGCAATATCTTCCAAATTTCTCTGGTTTCATGCCGTATCTGGGTTTTAGTAAATATGGAATCATATTGATATAATAAACGAGAAACGATAATTATATATGACTAAAACTGTTTAGCGAATGCACAACTGTTTGTTCTTTTACTAAAAGTAAGCATGGACTCATTCCAAATCAGAAATTATACGTGCAACTTTGATTTATTTATGTTCTCAAGAACTGAATGCGCGTTATAAGCCATTTGTTAACGCGTGCTTACAGTCATCTTTAATGCAGCGAGGACGTATTGTTTTGGAGAAAGATCTTCACGAAAATAGACTTGTGCTGGTTTCCGGCTACGAATGACCAGAAGAACGCCACTGTGAAAGGTAAGCACAAGTATATTATTTTTCACCCAATACAAGGCACAAGAGCAATTTAAGATAGAAGATTACTGAATAAGATGTCTGATATGGATGTAAGAGAAAGTGATAGGAAGTGAAGACCACGAGAATAAGGAGGATAGGTAAAGATTAAACTTTGATTTGAAGAGGTTAAGACTGTAAAACTATATGCATAGGTACATCAATAACTACATAATAATGAAAAAATTATTTAAGGTATTAACTTTTCAGTATGATTTCCTTTTTTTCAATGTACTTAACGAAACGCTTCTCCATATATCGAACATTATACAGTGAAAATTTCAGGTAAAAATTCAGCTAAAAACATTGTTAAGCCTGGACTTATTGATAGATCCTAGCACTGCCCTACAAATATCATGACTTTATTTAGTCACAAGTGTGAAACTCCTGGTGAGTATCTATATCTCTAAAGTGGTCACAGGTTTACTGATTAACCATCACTTTACAGTAAGTCCTGCACCAAAATAATCCAATTAAGCGTCTGGAACGTTTATTGTAAAAAGTCGTTTAGTAAAACCGAAATATTGTAGAAGACTATATTGTACTGATATCCTAAGCCTTCTTACATTGAAAATCTGTTGTAGCATAACTACGGACAATAATGGGTCCCCATTCACATAAATACAGTAGTAAATACTCTATGTTGGTCTGCAGTTGGAGACTCGCCTTCAGCTGTGCTCCAGCTCTGTTCCAACTGTGCTGGTCAAACTCTCTGCCTCCGGCCAGGGACGAGGCTATGTCGAAGGGCAGAGTCTCGTCTCTGGAAACAGCTACCCGACCCCGTTTTATACGGGCTCAACGGGGAATTTTTGGCCGAGCTTACGGGCTCGGATACCCCACATTAAATTCGGTCTTGTGCCACATCTGACCACGTGGGGCGGTTGGTAGATATCCTGTAGTTGGAAATTCATTGTGGAATTCACTTTCTGCTGTTGACTACTTTTCTACGCGCCGCTGGCGAATCTTATATGCGTTGTTTTTGTCCTAAGTATTATCGTTCATTACCAAACTTGATTATCCTATTCAGTGACCTTACCTAAGTTACAACAAAGTCTAACCCAAAAAAAGATTAGAGAAGGTATGTAATTGAGCAGTGATTTAAAAAATCCACGTACCTTCAAAATGTAGGCAATCATGGCCCTCTACTGCTTCTTTTTCTTTTGAACTGGAATAACCTCTTGGTGGAGGTAGTCGAAAGGTTTCTCATTGCCTTCTCCACGGTTTTAGATTCAGAGTTATCTTTCTACTAGACAGGCTACTATCCAAATCTAGAGAGGATAGTTTACCTTACAGAAAAGAAGAAATAGTTTCATGCATTTCCTAAGTGTGAAAGCAACAAAGCTGGCCGGTATTTGATCTTGGCTTGCCAATTGACCACTTTCCACGCCGATACCCATTAAGCTACTCGCGCATACGGTTGAGGCTAAACCGAATTCGTCATCGTATTAAAGTTTTAAACTCTGCGGTTGTGTGTTAAAAAACGGTTACTATTATCTTGGGTATAGGAAGCTGAGAGCCATGGCAGTCAACGTTCAAAAGTGAAACGGCATATAAAAGAAGATTGATTTATTTAGTGGTATATTAACACCTTATGGCTCAGTTAATGCCTAAATTTATTTTTCTTGGGGGGGGGGGCTTTGAAGTCATAAAAATGTTATTCTACTTTCACAACTGAATACATGGTAGATGATACTCCGCTTGTATTTTTGTGTGGACATAATTACTAGAGCCGGTGATATGTATGTTTTATGCTTTGTTGAAATTTATATTTTGGTATGCAGGTTGAATTCATTAAGAAATTGTAGTATATTATATGGATTAATGTCATGAAATTGTTCTTTCAAGTTGGTTGGTTGGGTTATTTAATGCAGGAATCCAATTAATTTGAACAGAATTTTATGGATTCAACTAAATATATTTTGAACGCAATTGTATGCCTTCAACTACAGATAGAATGTATTGTTGGTCATTTTGGTATAAAATGTATTGTTGGTCATTCTATAAATATGTATTGTTGGTAGTTTTTTAATATAAAAATGTATTGTTGGTATTTTACTACAAAATGTATTTTTATACATTCATATTGTTTTGATTTATTTTCTCATAGCTGGAACCCCTAACATGTGCTATCACCTCATGTCAGAGTGAACCTGGGAACAAATGCTATTAAAACATCCAATCTCCTGATTAGAGGTCTTGATTACCGGATGTATGCAAAAAAAGAAGATATATATATATATATATATATATATATATATATATATATATATATATATATATATACCGGTTGTTAATTTGTCCAAATCGTGTTACAGCATAATTGTCCACCCCACAAAATGTTTAATATCTAAAAAACACTGAACTAATTGTGTTTTATTTTTTCCAGGCTTAGCCGTCTCGATACTTTTTGTCGTTAAAATCGTTTTGCGTCAGTCCCACTGTATCTTTCCAACTAAGCAATAGTGAGAGGAAAAATAAATCATTCAGTCCTTAAGTAATGGTATCAACATTCACACTCTGGCTTCCATCTTCAAACTTCATAAAAGAACCAACAAGAAAACGGTGAACACGTTTAAAAAGGAGGGAACAGTAGGGAGAAAAACTGGATCAGGAGGTCGCAAGAGCAAAAGAGATCATCATTTCAACTTAGAACTAAAAAGATCAATTAGAAAAGATCCAACTCAATCCATAAGACATTTGGCGCGTGAGAGAGGAGTTTCAGCTATGACAGTCGAAAGAGCAGTGAAAAAAAGACTTGAAAATGAAATCGTACGTGAAACATGTCAGGCAAGTAGTTACTTCAGGACAGAATGTTAGAAGGTTAGAGAGGGTGAAAATAATCGTGAATAAGTTAGAATTAATATATATATATATATATATATATATAAAATTGAACTTCATGAGATTCCGATCCTTAGTTATGTTTAATTAATGATGAACATATCATTTTCATTTAGGATCGATTTCATCACAATTTCTCTGTTAAGCTTGGAGAGTAATTATACATTCTTATTGCTCAAAGTAAATTACAATAGGGTTATAAAAACCTCGGAAAATTTCAGTAAGATATCTTTAATCATTTCTAAGATACAGCAGTTCAAATCTTAATCTAACAAATGGACAATTTTGCTGTCAAACGATTTGGAAAAGTCTTGCAGTTACGCCCGCTATATCTATCTATCTATCTATCTATCTATCTATCTATCTATCAATCTATCTATCTATCTATCTATCTATCTTAGGGAAAGATTATGACGAATTGAAAAAAAATTATGTGACGCATTTGGTCTTCCAGGACTTCACCGGACTGAAACGCCAATACTACTATTGGACTATTGGTATATAAAAGTATATATTGTTATCTCATATATATATATATATATATATATACACACACACATATATATATATATATATATATATATATATATATATACATATATATATATATATACACACACACACACACACACACACACACACACACACACACACACACACACACATATATATATATATATATATATATATATATATATATATATATATACAGGTAGTAATCCATTGGTATATAATTCAAGTGAATTCTATTAACACAATATAAAATATTAAATATTAAAACTGATTCACACAAAAGTTTTATCATCCATTGATTGTTTGTAAAATCCTGTAAATTTAATTTTACAATGTGAAAACGATCATTTACATAATGGTATCTTAATTCATATA